GCTGCCCCACGCGGCTGAGATAGCTACAGTGGGCTTGTCCCCGAACCCAAGCCCAGGATGGGCTGGCGTCTGCAGAGGTCCCGCCAGCCCACAACTCTGTGGAGCCCACGGGCCCTAGGCCACCACTGACGCAGAAGCGAGTGCCCACGCGTCAGCACCACGGCTCAGAAAAGGGGCCGAACGGTGAGACTTGGTCCCAGGCCCAAGTCTGACCGATACAGCAAGACAGCGAAACCGGCCAATCGCAGGCTGTGCTTCCCACACCCGAGACCCCAAGCGTTCAGCGCACATCCAGACCCCACCTGCCTGAGCCACAGCAAAGCCCCTTCTGTCTCTGGACTCGGGCCCTGACCTGCCCCCCGCATCTGCTGGCCATGCAGCCTTAAAAAGGGCTTCTGGGCCCCAGCCTTTGACCAGGGATGGGTGGGCTGCGACTTCCACGAGGGACAGCTTTCGTGGCCACCAACCCCCCCAACAAGGTCTCTGAGGACCCAAGCGCCCACCTGTCAGCTCCCACTCCCACGACACAGGCCTGGGGTGCTCAAGAGCACTCTTCAGCACAGGGACACCAAGGGACCCAAGGGCGGCTGCCTGCAAGGGCACCGACATTTTGCAGGGCAGAACCCTGTGCCCAGCTGGGCCAGGCCAGGAGCTCTTCCCAGCCAGCACTTGGGGAGGCCCCACGGGCACGTACCCTGGAGTCCGTTTAGTATCAACAGGAAAAGAACCCTCAAGCGTGTCCTTGCTGCTCAGCTCAGGGCAGCTCTGCCGTCAACAGCAGTGAGGGGACCTTCTCTTCTTCCATCGGCATCTAAGAACCCTGACGGCCTCCCTTCCTGCACAGCTAGTCCTGATCCTCCGCAGGCCGCGTGCAGGTTCAGGGGGGACGTGCTAGCGGGGAGCCTCAGCCCTGCAGGATAGGAGAGGGTGCCCCCAGGCTTTCTGTCCATGCAGGTTTGATTCTGGAAGCAAGGGTCCCTTGGGAACAGGATGGCCAAAAGGGGGCCATTCCAAGGACAGCCACTGAAGACCTGCTCCAGCTGGAGAGCGGCTCCCACAGAAAAGGGGAGGATTACCCGCAATCCAGACATTTTCTGTGATTGTTACAAATGCTCCAGGTGAAAGTCCCTCGCCCCCTCCTGCCACCAAACAAACAGGTTTTATCTGCAGGAAGATCAGCACAGGCTGCGTGTGAAGACAAAAACCCACTTGGGAAAAGTGAAACCCAGCCCAGGCACCATGGCCGACTGACCAGAAACCATCTGGCTGCCTGCTCAGGTCACTTGAGCCACCTGCAGGGAGCTCAGGAACCACGGCCAGGGAGGGAGGACTCCCCCGGCTCCCAGCCACTGCCAGGACGCAGAGCTGGTAACCGGCTAACCAACAGTGCTTGCAGTCAGCCCCAGGATTCCCCTGGAGGTCACATTCCTGGGCACACGCAGGCCTGATCCTCAACTAGGCGCAGAACCACCTTGGCCCCACTTCCTGTGGGGAGAGAGCACCCCCGCCAACTCTGCTCCAACGTTTGCCCTTCTTACTGCTCAGACACAGAAGTAACATGACTCTTACTCAGAAAGGACACAGACCTCTCCTTTTCCCTTAGTTCAGAAAGGTTACGGGAAGCTTAACAAAAACCATCCAAACCACACCATCAAAGTAGCCCCAACTGCCTCAGAAACCCCGTGTGTCCTCCAGTCCCAGCACCCACCCCACAAACTGCTTGGGGGCATAACCACATTTTGACTTGGCCCCCACCAAACCAGGGGTGCTCAAAACCTCCACGGGCAGACGTCCTCGTCAGCCCCACCGCACAGCCTGCTTCAACCGTGAGTGGGTGAAAGCAGGCCTCTTGCCAGCTCTCAATTTCAGGACAGGGAGCAGGGACCTAAACTAAGGCCAAAGGTGCATTTGCTGCTGAGGGGCCAGTGGGCCCACAGGGCCCGAAATGCACAGCCTGGGCTGGACGTGATGCCGCTGGGCAGAGGGAAGGGCCTGCAACTGGGACAACGCTGGGGCACTGGGGGGAGAGGCGGTGCCGGCGCTCTGCAGGGTGAGCAGACGGGCCCTCGCGGTCAGCGCAAACTCAGGCTGAGCAAGCGTAACGAGGAAGTCAAGCCAAAGTGCCTACCTTCGTACCAACTGCTATATCTGGGACAATGCTGTAGAGAGAGAAAAAGGACAACAGTTAGCCAGGTGTGCTGCCCATCTCAGCAGGAAAGGCTGGGCAGGAGCGGCCGTCCCCTGGTCCCTGTCCCAGGGGTCCAGAGAGCCCACAGCCGCTGCCACCAGAGTGCTGGGAGGTCCCCCCATGGCCACCAGCTTGGCCTCTGGCTGCACGACACCCCCCACCTTGAAGCCCTCTGCTAACTAGACCGCTGAAGGCAGGGAAGTGAGCGGCGTCCCTGTCACCTCAACTTGAAAAGGAGCCACCATTGTCTTCCAGCTCCCCTCCCTCCCAGCAGGACCCCAGGTCCCGCCTCCGGACCCGCCCAAAACAGAGACACGCCCTTCAAAACCCCCAGGAGGTACCCTTGAGTCGAGGCTCAGGTATTGCGGTCTGTTTTACAAAAAGTGGAAGCACTCTGGGAACCTTCTCCAACAGGAAAGGAGACCAGTGAAAGGTGGGCTCAGAGGCCCTGGGGTCAGAGCTCTGGACGCAACGCTGGAAGGATGGAAGGTTCCTGGGGGGCGGGGGTAGCTCGCCGAAGGGATCAGATAAAATTAACACAGGTTACTCATCAACCTGGCTCCGCGTGACTGGACTTTCTCCCCGCCTCAGGCGGGCTGGACGAGGGCGGGAAGAAAACGTGTCTACTGGAGGGTTCCCACAGCTCTGCACGCCTCAGCTTAGTGCCGCCCAAGGGCACTGGTGTGGCCCCTACAAACGGACCGGGTCCTAGCCAACTCAGGGAGCGTCGGCCCAGAAGGGGCCTTAGTCACCCCCGTGCTGAGGCCTGGCTGCCCCGTGGACGGAGCCACCCGAGTTGTCTGTCACTCGGTGGCCCCTGCCTGGCCCGGGAAGGCTGTCTGTCTCGGACAGGGCGGGAGGGCCTGGGGCCACCACCTGCACTGCCGACCTGGACAGAGCAGCTTCCTGCGCTGTTTCCCTCTTTGGTTCTGAGAGCTCCTGGTTCCGTCCCTCCCGCCCTCGGCGAGCCAAGCTTGCAGGACACAAACCCTGGGGTGTCCTGGCCCCAAAGCACCGCTGTGCTCCTGGGGTCCGAAGTCCTCACCTGCCCGTTCTCTCCAGGTCCTATTCCTTCGCAGCGGGGCCTTTACCTCCCCGACATTCGGAAAAAAGAAAAACAAAAGCCCACAGCCTGCTATCAACATATCTTTTAAAAATCCCCGAGCCAAGAAAAAGCCTCCCAGAAAACCCGAAAGAATGAAAGGCACGCAGCTCCGCGGCCGCTAACCCGGAGCGGCTCCGGCTCCCTACTCCCCGGGAGGGCCCCCCCGGAAGCGCTTCGCCCAGACGGCCCCTCTGCGGAGGACGTGCGAGCCTTCCCCGCGCAAGGCCACAGCGGCCACAGCCCCTGCCCGGGGGGCTTCCCCGCCAGGCCTGGGGTCGACTCAGCCCGAAACCGGGCATTTCAAACCCGAGGCGCCGGGACACGTGACCCCCCAGGCATCCGAGCCGCCCCGCCCCGCCCCGGGGGTCGGCCCCGGGGCGCACGGAGGGCTTGCGCAAAGCTCCGCGTCAGGAGAAGAAGGGCAGCACCGCCGCGGGACCCTCCAGCTGCCGAAACCGCGGCGCCCACCCCTCCCCCACGGGGAAACGGACAGTCCCCGGACACGCGGGACGCCCTCGTCGGCAGCTTCCACCCTTTCCCCCGGACAGCAGCCTAGCGCCCGAAGACAAAGGTGTCCACCGACACACGCACGTCGGCCCCGAGGCTCGGGACGCGCGACAAGCCGGCGCCACGACGACCCGCCGCGCGCACCGCGCGCACCGCCGGGCCAGCTCGCGCTCCGGGAACGGCCGGCCCGCAGCGCCCCCCGCGGGCGGGAACAAAGGGGGGCCGGGCGGGCCCCTCCCCGGGCCCCGGGCCGGGCGCGCGGCCATCCTTTGTGGGTAGCCGGGGAGGGGCCGGGCGGCCGGCGGGGGCGGAGGAGAGCCCGCGCCCTTCCGGGCAGGAGGGCGGCGTCTCCGGGCCGCGCCCGGGCCCGCGGCGGGCGGGGGAGGCCGAGGGCAGAGTCCGCGCGGCGGGAAAGACCGCGCACGCGCAGAGCCCAACGGGAGGGGGGCGCGGAGAGCTGCGCACGCAGGCGCGGGGGCTCGACGGGGAGCGGGAAGGGCCACACGGGGCGCGCAAAGAGGGTACGGGGAGCTGGAAGGCTCACACGGAGCACGCGAAAGGTGGCGCGTGCGCGCGGGGCGCGGACGGGAAGCGCGAAGGGCCGCGCGACCGCCTCGTGCGTTCGGGACGGGGCGCGCGCAGGCCGGAAACGAGCAGAACTCGGGCCCGGCCCATTCCCTCCAAGCCCGGGAGGCGCTGCCCGTTCGGCGCCCCCGGCAGCCTCCCCCGCGCCCGCGCCCCAGACCCAGGGAGGGGAGGGACCCCGGAGGCACCCGCGAACCCGGGCGGAGGCGGAGCGACGCGCGGGCCGCGGCCCCGAAGAGACCCGGGCGGCGGCGAGGGGAAAGATGGAGCGCGAGGAGGTCGTCGGGGAGCGCGGAGACACGATACTTACCCGTCCATTGCACACAGAGGAGACCCGCAGGGGACGGAGTGGAGGCGCCGGAATAGCAGGAACCGACCCAACGGCTCCGAGTTATAGACTCACAAAATGGCGGAGACGCCCGAACACGTCCCCCGCGCGCTCTGCCCATTGGCTCCCGCCACGGAGAGGGGGCGGGGCGGGCGCCGCGGGCCCCTGCCAGCGCCTCCCAATGGCTAGGAGGCCGCTCGAGGGGTGGAGCCAAGAGGAATGGCAGGCGGCCATTGGGGAAGGCGGCCGTCCGTCAGGGCTCGAGGCGGAAACGACCCGTGGAGACGGGGGAGGGGAGAAAAGGCGGGATCATATCACGGAGCCTGAGCCAGTGAGCGAGCTGCTCTCCTGCGTGGGGCTTTGCGGGAGAAGCCATCTTGAGAGTGGGTACGTGGCGAGTCAGGCGGCGGGAAGCGTGCTTTCCACCAGGCTGCCGCCATCTTGCAAACGGGCAGGGTCCGTCCACGGGCATGAGGGTAGAGGGAGGTGCGTCGCCATCTTGGAGTCGGGCAGGGGACCTATGGGGCTCCATCTTGCTTTTGGGCACGTGGCTGAAAAGGCTGATTCCAACAGAGACCTTACTCCTAGGTGGGCATGCGGGGAGGTGGAGGCCGCTTAGCCCGTCCCGGACTAGCCGGGGCTCCGTCTGCTCTGCTGATCTCTGGTTTTGAGAGCGCGATGTGGTCAGGGATGGCCCCCGACGGCCCTTTGTTCGCCCCGGAGCAGCAAAACCCGGCCGCAGCCCTCTGCCCTGGCCGCAGGGATGGGGAAACTGAGGTGGACCTCGCTTGCTTGCGCTGCAGGCCATCTGTAACCCCAGGACCGCCAGTCGGGAATGTTCCGGTGGATTTAGGAGAATCTCCGACACATTCCCGTGGATTTGCTCCCTCTTGAGCTGTGCTTTGGGCACCACGAGGGCCAGCAGCTCATCTTCCTTCTGGGGGGACTGATGCCAGGGATGCCCCCCCAGAGCAGCGGGGAGGGAGGGGGACATGGGGTGTCCCAGCCCAGGGGGAGAAGAGCGCAGCGGACGCCGGCAGAGTGTGTAGACTATCAGAATGGCGTTAAAACCCACTCCCCATCACAGCCCTCCCAGGGTCCTGGCCCACCTTGCAGCCGGCAGCCCCCACACCACGGGCCCCCTGCCTGGTCCTGACCTAATTTACACAGGCCTCCCGTGTGCGGCTGACCCTTTCGGAGACTCTTCCCTAAAATACACTACTCCCTCTTTCACGCCCCTGTCCCAGGGCCTTTGCCAAGGCCCCTCATCAGAACAGCCTCGCCTGGGGCGCCTGGGTGGCTCAGTCGGTGAAGCATCTGCCTTCGGCTCAGGTCATGATCCTGGGGTCCTGGGATGGAGCCCCACATCGAGCTTCTTGCTCGGCGAGAAGCCTGCCCCTCCTCCTGCTCCTGTTTTCCCTCTCTCTCAAATAAATAATAAATCTTAAAAAAAAAAAGGAAAAGAAAAGAACAGCCTCTCCCGATGTCCCCCGTGAGATGGTTGAGGGTAATACTTCTCATTTCCACAATGCACGGGAGCTCCTCGGCATCAATTCAAACACAGGCCAGTGTTAGGTAGAAAATGTTGGCAAGGAGGCCAAGAGGCCCCTGAGGGAGGGGTCTGTGGCTGAGATGCGGTCCCCTGTGTCTCAGGCCAGCCCCTGAGTCTTGCTAGATGCTGGAACCCCGAGGTGAAGGGGACAAGGCCGGGGCTCTGATGAGAAGCCACACTGATCCCCACAGTTAGAAGATCTGCAGGCTGGGAGGTATACAACACAGATGTATTCTCCTGACTCTAGAGGCCCCAGCGTGTATGGATTAGGTGCTTCGTGATGGAGGGAGGCCTTGGGGGGCCCCAGGGGTCCCCACAGTCCTCAGTGCCCAGCGTGTGCCCCAGCGTGTACGGATCAGACGGACGCCCCTGACTTCAGTAGGAGCCAGCCCGGCCTTCTCTTTCTCCCACCCCAGCCATGCCCACCAGCTGTTTCCCTCATTAATGATTTAAGGATGATTGTGGACGTGTGAGCACCTTTTATTCATTTGCGAATTTTGAAAAGGATCCTCTCTGCGGCAGGAGCGAGGGAGGTAGGAGCCAGACTGGGGTGGAGAGGGCCCGCATCCCAGGCCCTGGCAGGGAGACCTGCTGGGGCCCCATTCCTCTCTTTAGATCAGATGGGGGGGTACAGTGCCTCAGTTTACTCCTTTGTCAAAAGAGGCAGGACCAGACTAGTCCTCCATTACTGCCCTGTGGGCTTTCCCCTGTGTTTCAAATGGAAATGGTTAATAGTTTCAGAATATTTATTCATGTGTTTGTTTATCCATGCCTGGATTATAAAAGCAGTTGGGTGGGGGGCAGGGCAGGGGTCCAGGGAGTGGGCTTGGGGAAGTCACCACATCTGCCTCCCAGCTTCTCTGAGCCATTCTCCAGACTTCTGTTCGAGCAGGGGCTGGGGGAACCAAACAGGCTGCCCCCAGCGCCTCCAAGCTGGAGCCCCACCCCTGCCCCAGCTGGGTGGCCTGGATCCTGGCCTGGACCACAGGGAGCTGGGAGGCAAAACCAAAATGGCTTACTCTGGCCTGATGATACATCATAGCATGCCTCCTGCCCTGGGGTGGGGGCCATACTCCCCAGTCCCAAGGCTTCTAGCCCATCCTCCTCTTCAATTAGGGTAGGAGCCTCAGGCTTCTCCCTCCCCCCACCTCCCGCCAGGCCCTGCCCAGCCCCCAACCCCTAGGGGAACCCCCGTCCCTGCAAGGTCCTTCCTGTGAATTGTCATGGTCACCTCTCAAGGGCCTTCTCATCCCGGATCCCCCATCCCAGATACAGCCACTCCCCTCCCCAAACCCAGAAACCCTCCCTCTCTCCAGGCCCTGCCCGAGCTGGAGCTGTCTCTTCACGCCAGACAGCCTGACCACGTACCTCTCTGTGCGCTTTCCTGTTGTAACTGTTTAATCCTCAGCTAGGAAATACTTTCATTTCCTTTTCCCAAATACAGTGAGGTTGAGTGAGCCGCCTGAGCCTCCCAGCCTGTATGAGGCCCCACCCGGCTGGACCCAGGCCGCTGCACCTTGGCTGGGGGCGCTGCAGAGGGGTGAACAGTCTAGCCAGTCCTCCAAGGGGTCAGCCTAGAGTTACCACCTGACCCAGCAACGCCACTTCTAGCAAACACTCGCCCTCAGCTGCAGGACTCAGCCAAAAAGTGGAGGAACGCAGTGCCCACCGGCAGGTAAATGGATACCCGACACGTCTACCACATGGGCACGTCCCACGGCCGCGAGCAGGAGCGAGGCGCCCACACGCACGGCCCCGGGGACGGACCCCGAGCCCACGACGCTCAGGGAGGGAACCAGACACGGAAGGCCACGTGGGGTGTGAGTCCACGTGGGTGACACATCCGGAGCAGGCTCATCTGCGGACGGGAAGGGTGCTTGGGGGGCGGGGGCGGGGGAGAAGGTGGGGAGTGACCGTTGATGGGGCGGGGACGCTCAGGGAGGGACCCGGACACGGAAGGCCACGCGGGGTGTGAGTCCACGTGGGTGACACGTCCGGAGCAGGCTCATCTGCGGATGGGAAGGGTGCTTGGGGGGCGGGGGCGGGGGAGAAGGTGGGGAGTGACCGTTGATGGGGCGGGGACGCTCAGGGAGGGACCCGGACACGGAAGGCCACGCGGGGTGTGAGTCCACGTGGGTGACACGTCCGGAGCAGGCTTGTCCGCGGACGGGAAGGGGGCTCGTGGGGGCGGGGGCTGGGGGGTGACGGCTGATGGCCAGAACTTCTTTCCTGGTGTTGAAATACATATTCTCAGATTGACTGTAATGGTGGTTGCACAGCTCTGAATGTACTAAAAACCACTGGACTGTAGACTTTGAAAGGGTGAGTAAGGCTGTGAATTATGTCCGATAAAGCTGCTTTTGAGAACTCCTTCCTATGCAGCTGGGAATGCCCTCCACTGGTGAGGACGGGGTGGGTAGAGCTGCGGCCCTTGGCAGAGGGGGCAATGGGGCGACCGCTTTGGAACACGGGTTGGCGGTTTCTTACAGAGTCACCTGCATATTCTCCCAGAAGTGCAGGCCGTCCAGCTCCTGTGTGTTTACCCAAGAGAAATGTGTAGAAACAGGTAACAAAGCTTTGACAAGAATCTCCCTAGCAGCTCTTCATAAATAACAGCGTCGCGCCAGAAAGAACCACGGCGCTCAGCAAGCCGGATCGGAGACCGTTGGTGGTGGCCCGCATGGCCGAGAGCTAGGAAAGCTCATGGCGGGACCCAGAGCCCCCCCCGCCCCCCCCAAGGGGCAGATCGTCTCTCACAGGCACTGGCCCGGGGCACTCTGGGGCCGCCCACACACTCGGCATCTGGGGACAAAGCTTGGTGATGGGGACGCTTTGCCATGTGTAAGTTAGAGCTCCGTAAAATTCAACCAAGAAAATACTGTTGATTCTCATTCTTCCGCAAAGTCCTGACGGACACTGGACTGTGGAGCCTGGAAACGGCGCTCTGCAGGAACTGGGGGGAGCCCCTTGGCCAAGCATTGCCCCCTACCCGTCGTCCCATGCGCTTCTGTTGAAAGACACCTGACGTGGTGCGTAGTACGGATTCACTAACGTCAAAGTCACAGGCGACAGCGCCACGGAACAAAGCACATCCAACACGTGCATTTTCTCCAAAAGGCACATCACGGCCTTCTTGAGGCTAGGAACCCTTGGGGGCCGATTTAAAGCACAATCACCGTCAAAAAGCACAAACATGCAAAACACATGCACTAAATAAGCCTCAGAAAGGGACCTTCTTGGGGCACCTGAGTGGCTCAGTCGTTGAGTGGCTCAGTCGTTGAGCGTCTGCCTTCGGCTCAGGTCATGATCCCAGGGTCCTGGGATCGAGCCCCGCGTCGGGCTCCCTGCTCCGCGGGAAGCCTGCTTCTCCCTCTCCCATTCCCCCTGCTTGTGTTCTCTCTCCCTCTCTCTAATAAATAAATAAAATCTTTAAAAAAAAAAAAAGAAGAAGAAAGGACCCTTCTTTCCAGCCAGACTGACACCAGGTGTTGCATTGCCTGGCTCCCTGCTGGGCTGCGGGACCGTGCCCACCAGCCATCCCGGGTGGATCTGGAAACGACTGCAAACACACCAGGAGGATCAAGTTACAATAAATTTGACAAATCTGCAAAGAGACCATATAAATTCATTTACAAATAATTACAAACAAACTTCAGTGGGTCGGTGAATTTGCAAATCCAGGATCCGTGGAGAATGAGAATCTACTGTAATTTGAATCTGCACCACCCAGGGTAGTGGTCCCTGGCCCCACGTGGCTATTTAAACCATGCTAATTACAATGAAGTGCACGGAACCGTTTGGATCCCCATCACACCAGCCAAAAACTCTGGGGGCCACATGAGCACAAGGTGGGGAGGGCATGTCCATGGTGGTGGGGAGTCCAGTCCCCCAGCTGGATGCTCGGCTGCTTTGAGCCTTTCCTTTTGCTGTTCTTTGCGGGACCAGAGGTCCACCTCCCTGTATCAGATGCCCCTTCCAGTCTTTCAGGCCCCCCGATGTGGGCGGGTGGATGGGACTGAGGAGCAGGGCTTCCTGGGAGCCTGCTAGACGTCCCAAAGAGCTGAGCGGGGGGAACAGCATTGAAGGCAGAGGGAACAGCAACCTCGGGCAGTAGAGGGTCTTAGAGGCAGGGTGAGGGGGCTGGACGGCGGCCGCTCTGCAGGGAGGGAAGCACGCAGACGTTAACCACCAACCTGGCAACGTCCAGCAAGACTCGGGGCGCCCTGCGTCTCAGCAGCACAGCCCCGGCTGGAGGATGTCCCACTGAAGACACCTGAGTGCCCTGTGCTGGGACATGCATCCGGACCGGGCTGGGGCGGCGACCGCGGGAGGGCGTGTGCAGGGAGGGCCTGGAAAACCCACCACAGCACTGGGAATCGACGGGGTATGCGCGCTTGTGGGGAAAGTCGAGAGACATGCGGGGGTGGGGGGGTGAGGCCTGCCCTCGGGAGAGGTCGCTCTTGGGGACTGCGGGCAGTGCCCAGGGTCACTGGCGGGCGGTTCCTGAGTCCGGGCGGCTTGCTCAGTTCTATGCCCGCGGGCGTCTGGATTAGTTACAACCACCAGCACGAGGATGGTTTTCCTGCTGACAGCTTTAGTGAGAGGCAATTTATACACCACGATTCACCAGTGTATGTCGTACTGCTCAACGGTTCGTAGTCCATCCGCAGGGCTGTGCGGGGTCACCAAAGTCAGTTCCAGAACCTTCCATCTCCCCAAAAGGAAGCCATGTCTCCATCTGCCGTCACTCTCCGTCCCCCTCCCCCCAGGCCCCCACAAGCCCCCTTCCCGTCTGTGGATGAGCCTGCTCTGGACGTGTCACCCACGTGGACTCACACCCCATGTGGCCGTCTGTGTCTGGTCCCCTCCCTGAGCGTCGTGGGCTCGGGGTCCGTCCCCGGGGCCGCGCGTGTGGGCCCCTCACTCCTGCTTGTGGCCGAGGGACGCTCCCTGCGTGGGGGCTGCATCGTGTTTGTCTGTTTGTCCCTTGATGGGCATCTGGGCTGTTCCCACGTCGTGGCTGTCGTGAGCTGGACGTGCGTGCACGTATCTGTGTGGACATGTGCTTTCACTTCTCCTGGGCGGAATCTGTGTGCGTTTCCTGGGGCAGCTGCAACACAGACCCACAGATCCAGCAGCTTAGGGGAGACTCCGGGTCCCGGAGGCCAGAGGTGGGGATGGGGCGCCAGGTGCCTGCCGAGGCCGCTCTCCGCGGCGTGCGAACTCTCTTCTCCCCGTGTCCTCACAGGGTCGTCCCTCCGTGTCCTCTTGTCCTCTTTCTGTAAGGACACTGGTCACGCTGGGCCAGGGCCACCCTTGTGACCTCGTCCTAACTTGGTCACCTCTGTAAAGACCCTGTGTCCCATGTGGCCCCCCACAGGTGCAGGGGGGCGGGACTCCAGCCCCCCTGTGTTTTGGGGGTGACGCGACCAGCCCGGGACAGACACCCGGGAGTGAAGTCGCTGCATCACGGGGCGGCTCGTTGTTTCGCCTTTTGAGGAATGTCCAGATGATCTTCCCCCGCGGCCGCTGCAATCTGCTGTCCCGCCAGCCGCGTCGAGGGCTCCTGTCCCCCCACCTGCACCCAACTTCACTGTTGCAGTCCCCTCGGTGTCCCAGGACCCCATCCCGACACCACGGGATTTCGGCTGTCGCTCTGCTTCGGCCCCTCCAGGCTGGTCCCCTGGGTCCCCTGTTCTTGTGTGGATGCCCTGGGCGGTCAGAGGGGGGCTGGCTGGGGTCCCGCAGGACGTCCCCAGGCTGCATTCGTCCCACCGGGGCCCCCGCTGCCCACGCGGCTCCTCCCTGCGGACGCTGGCCCTGTGTCCTGGCCGGGGCCACGCCGTCCGTCCTCGGGGGAAGGGGTCGCTGTGTGCAGCCCCCACGGGGGGTGCGGCGCAGGGTCTCTCTATCAAGGTGTTGATGGCACAGATGCAGGCCCAGGAGGTCCGTGTCGTGTCCGGACGTCTGCTGGGCAGTGGGCTGAAGGGAGGTGGACACACACGCAGGACCGAAGGCGGCAGCATCAGCGGGGGTCCCGCCCCACAGGAAGTGGCGCGGGGAGAGAGCGAGGCAGGAAGGGGACGGCCACATTGAGCCGGGGGGCGGGCCAGTCCCCGGGGAGCCGGGCGCTTGTGCACGGGAGGGGACCACAAAGGCCTGTGGTGGGTTAAATCGTGGCCCCCACACGCGTGTCCACATCCTGACCTCCAGCACCCATACCCACCACCTTATTTGGAAATAGGGTTACGACGAGGTCGCCTGGGAGTCGGCGGCCCTAAGGCACCAGCCAGCGTCCTCGTAAGAGGGAGATTCGGACACGGACGCAGGGAGAGGCTACGTGGTGACAGAGGCAGAGATGGGGGAGGCGGCCATGACCCTGGGGGCACCAAGGTCGCTGGCGACACCAGGCCGCGCCCTCCCACACAGAGCCGGCAGCCCACAACTTGGTCCTGGCCGCCCAGCCTCTGGATGGGAGAAGACTTGTGTGTCGTCCTTCTATGGAAACCCCGACTGACCATGGCCCTTGGTGACGGTGCCACGGCCCCAGGAGACGGGTCTTGCCCGCGAACCTGGGGGGGGGTCCCAGGCAGGTGGAGCCACGGCTGTGAAGACAGCAGAGCCCCGGCTTCCTCGGCCCTGCAAAATTCATGACGAGGAAGGTGTCTCAATTATGGGGACGCAACGTGAGCCGGGCTGTAAGCGATCCCGTGGCCACCTGCCCACCCGCCACCCACCCGTCCACAGGTTCATGGGCACAGAGGGCTGGCCGCCCCAGCCGCCCCCTCCCCGGGGAGGAGACCCCAGCCCCAGCCTGGCGCACTGTGACCCTCCGCGGAGATGCCGTGGCTCCCATTGTTCTGGGTGTGAGACCCGCTCTCAAAGGGCCCGACCGAGTCGAGGCCAGCTCCACGCCCACTGGCCAGGGTTGGAGACGTCTGAGTTGTCACGCTGGGGGCTCCTGGCATGGGGGGGCAGATGCTGCCCAGGCCCCACAGGGTCCGGACGGCCCCCCGGGACAACCTGCCCCCCCCCAGGGTCCTCTGCGGTTACGCTCCCCGGAAGTTGGGCCTCCATGTCGGGGACGTGGGGTCCCGGTCAGAAACTACTTCTGGAAGGATCCCGGCACAGAGGAAGGAATGTCCTCCCACCCCAGGCAGGCCTGTGGGACTCAGGCAGAAGGCAGTACAGCCTCGGGTTTCATAATAGGTAACATATGAAACCCGAGACACCAAGCCTCTCGCTAGTGACCTCACAGCATCAATAGTTTATAGTGGGAAACAGACACTTGATCCGTGGCCCTAGGGCCACCTGCCTGGGCCCAGGGCAGCGCCCGGCCCCCCTCTTGGTCTGAACGCGCCTGCAGGTGGCCGATGCCGAGACCACCCCTCCCTGGAGCGGAGACGCTGTGTCACCGCCTGCTGTCCTTTGGATGGGCCAAGGGGTGGGGGCTGGCGGGATGGCGGGAGGTGAGAAGCAGCGTTTACTCCGAAGGGGAAACACGGAGCCACCGTTCGACCCAGACACGGAAGGCGTGTGGTTCCGTGTGGGTGACATGCCCAGAACAGGCTCATCCACGGACGGGAAGGGGGCTCGCGGGCATGGGGGCCTGGGGAGGGATGGCCGATGGGGAGGGGGCTTCTCGTCATTCCTCAGGCCTCTTGTCCGTATATTTTCTCACTGAACTTAAAATCTACGTATGTCAAACGCTCCTCACGCAGATTAGACGACCGCAGAGAGGAAAACGAAAGGCCAGCTGAAACGGCCCCGAGTCAGCGAGACCTGCCTTAGCGTCAGAGGTCTGCCTGGCAGAGTGGGCCTGTACCGGCTTGCTCCGACCAGAAGGCGAGGGCACCTGCTCCCCGTGCACTGTATGCATACCACGCACATGGCCCCGGGGTCCGTCAGCGCCTCCTAAGCCGTGGCTAAAAATTTCATTGACGACCCATCAGCGTTGTGTTTTCTGGCCACACATCTCTTTCCCGGGGTTTTAAAACCGGCCGGAGCCTTTTGCATCCACTTCGCCTTGATACGAGAATCCCACTGGGCCCGGGCTCTGCCAGAAACCCTTTAAACACGGAGTTGCCACAGAGGAGGAGACGAGCATCCCGGCGGTCAGCCCGGAGGTGCCCACGGCTGGTGTTTTGAATGCTGTTACCTGGAACGGGTTTTAAAAATTGCATTTTGTGGCTTTATTCTGTTTCTTCGATAAGAAGGTCCTCCATTCTCCCTTACGCCCACCTGGTATCCTGAAACTCCCTGGAGGATCCTGAAATTCCTTCTGAAACATCATATTTTAAAGGAAATTGTGGCAAAATGCACATAATATAAAATGTGTCCCTTTAACGGTTCCCTAAGCGCACAGCTCGGTGGCACCAGCCACACTCACGGTCGCCCAGCCATCCCCACCGTCCATCTCCAGAATCTTCCATCTCCCCAAACGGAGGCTCTGGAAAACACCATCTTTAACATGGTTCCTGACAGCTACACCTCCCGGTCCACCTGCCGCGTGGGAGCCCATGGCCATGGCCCTCACGCACCCTCATCTTGCTGGCCGAGCCCCTCCTGCCCTGGGCCCCTCATACTCGCCCCCTGACCTGGCTTCTCGGCATGCACTCACGACTTGCTGGGGGCCACGGGCAGCGGCCAGCCCTAAAGCCAGGCACTGGTCAGCGCACGCACGATTCTGGCTAGCCTCGGCCCCCCATTCCACAGGGGTCACGAGCCTCCCCGGCACAGATGGCCTGGGACCTGCCACCGGTCCAGTCCTCGGTCCCTCCAACCAGCCCGACAGCCAAGAGCCTTCCTATCTGAACAGCAAAGCTCAGCAAACAACAAGAAGAAAAACCCAGAAGAGCTGAGGTGACGGTCTTTCTTTCCCTAAAACCCAATGTCCTTATTTTTTTAAAGAAAGCTACATTTTGCCTCCCACCCCAAGCTTCTCTGTCCAGCCAACAGGGTTTAAACTCCCAGACGTTCTCCTGGCAGAAAATTCTAGAATCAGGAGGGCAGGTGCAGGCCCCGTCAGTCGGCTTCTGTCCCCCTTTGTTTTCTTGGCGACTTCCTTTTCGCTGAAGATAAAATAGGTCCCAACAATAAAAACGAACTACTGAGATGTTCGTGTTTATCTGCAAAGCACAGCCTCTGGCCTCCGGAATGTTCTTGTGTCATTTCCAGATATTGTGTGGGGTTCCGGCAGAGTGCATGGACAGAGCTGGGACACGACCAGGCCAGGGCTCCAGAGACATGGTTTTTAAAATGCCCGTGTTTCTCCAACAACCTGCAAAGTTCGTGGTTATTTCTTCCTGTGACACTTGTCTCTGGAACCTTCCGTGGGGGCCCGTGTACACGCCAGACCGTGCAGAATTCGACCCACAAGGACCTCCGCCCAGACCCCCAACTTTGCTCACGGTGCTCAGCGCTGCCGGTGATAACTTCTTATCAAGGCCTCGCAACGGGAATGGAAGGGGGCCAGAAGGAGGGTTTGGGGCCGTTTTGATTGCTTTTTCGTTAATAATTCTCTTTGCTCCTGGGCTCGGAGCACAGAGAGGCTGGAGGGAGGCTGGGTGGGCCCTGGAGGCCCCACAGGAGGGGAAACCGGCCCACATGCCTGGCATTCCTCCTCTCCTTCCCACATTGTTTGTTTGTTTGTTTTAAATTAGAGTCGCCAGGAATTCCTTTTCCTTTCTGATTCTGCTGGGACTTTGTAACATCCTAGAACCACCGCCTGGCCAGGGCATAGAACATTCCAGCACCCTCCCGGCTCCATCCCCTCCCCAGACACCCACACTGACAATTATTTTTCCTTGGAGTGTGTGCAGCTAGCCACAAGCCCCCAGGTCTGCAAGGGCACCCCTGGCCACACGGGGCCCATGGCCCCTGCTGTCCCTGAGCCTACCCCCCCCCCCGTCAGCCTCCCCCGTCAGCCTCCCCCATCAGAACAGCCACCCCTCCTGACCTCCCTCCGTGCCTGCCCACCAGGCTGGGCTGTGGTGGACACCAGAGCCTGGATCCAGGGGAGGGGCACAGTGTGGATGCCCATGTCCACATCCAGCCTCCCTGGTGAGGAAACCGAGGCAGGTACTGAACTCACTCCCCGAGCGCCTCTCATCTTTCCACATGTCCACTTTATCCAGTGATAAAGCAAAGTTAATGTCATCGGTTTTTTTTTTTTTTTACTTATTTTTTTAAAGATTTTGTTTATTTGACAGAGAGGGAACACAAGCAGGGGGCGTGGGAGAGGGGGAAGGAGGCTCCCCGGCGAGCAGGAGACCCGCCCCCCCATGCGGGGCCCCATCCCAGGACCCTGGGATCATGACTTGAGCTGAAGGCAGATGCCCAACCGACTGAGCCTCCCAGGTGCCCCGAGGTCAACGTCATGGTGAAGCAGGCTCAGGATGCCAAACTCCGAGACATTTCCCTACCATTTTACACAACGCACAGCACAAGACAGAGTCGCACAACAAACAAGATACTGCAAGGGTAGGAAGGCAGTCCTTCCACCAGCGCGCCGGGAAGGGTGGCTGGGTGCGGCCCGGGGCTGCTGCTTGCTGGGTCTGCTCTGCTCAGAGGTCAGTGGGCAGAGGGTTCTCTGATGCGGTCAGACGGGGAGCGGTCAGTGTCTGGACCATCTGACCGTTTGCTGCAAATCCTCCCCTTTTGAAGGCATTGGATCAATCTTGGGCCTCTTGCCAGCTTGCTCGGGCCTGCTGATTATCAGGTTATCAGGTCTGGCGTTCTCGGCCGCAGAGCCCTCGGCTGCTGGTACCCGTGCCCGGCGTGAGTGACCCCGTCGTGCCCTCTGCACGCCGACCTGAGGTCCCCGGCAGGATGCCACGAAGCCCCGCAGCCCCCAACGGCTGTCACTGAGCGTCCCAGAGCCCAGCACGGGGTGAGCGGGCCCTCCGAGAGACACGGACTGCCCGCGGAGGGGTCCCGCCGAGGGATCTCGGGACGGTCCCGCGATGCGGCTCCCGGGGAGGGGGTCCCGGGGAGGGCGTCCCGCGGAGGGGGTCCCGGGGAGGGGGTCCCGCGGAGGGCGTCCCGCGGAGGGGCTCCCGGGGAGGGGCTCCCGGGGAGGGGGTCCCGCGGAGGGGGTCTCAGGGAGGGCGTCCCGCGGAGGGGGTCCCGCGGAGGGGGTCCCGGGGAGGGGGTCCCGCGGAGGGGGTCTCGGGGAGGGCGTCCCGCGGAGGGGGTCCCGGGGAGGGGGTCCCGGGGAGGGGGTCCCGCGGAGGGCGTCCCGCGGAGGGGGTCCCGGGGAGGGGGTCCCGCGGAGGGGGTCCCGCGGAGGGGCTCCCGGGGAGGGGCTCCCGGGGAGGGGGTCCCGCGGAGGGGGTCTCGGGGAGGGCGTCCCGGGGAGGGGGTCCCGCGGAGGGCGTCCCGCGGAGGGACAGCTGTGGTGGGAGCTGTTTTACTGCCCAGACCCCGACGATGTCTCTAAAATAGGAGCACAAGTCGCCCCTTGCAGAGTTCAGGGGCCAGGTCCCCGGGGAGCCCTTGACCTCGGGGTGCCGCTGTTGGGCGGCGCAGGTGCCGAAGCCTCTTCCGCGCGACCCTGACCTCCTCCTGGCAGGTAACATCCTTCAGGCCTCCGCGCAAGCCCGCCAACCTCAGTGACGCTTGTTGAAATGAGATTGTTCCTGGGAAATCGGAGAATCGGTCCTGGTTCAAGCGCGCAGTAGGTGCTCACATCCCAACCCCCCACCCCATGCGGGGCCTCTGTCCCTTCCTGTGGCCCCTCAGTCAGGCCAGCCCAGAGCTGCACACCAGTGGGTCCCAGCGAGTGACCATCAGCGAGGCCCCATCGAGGAAGAAAGTTGCTCCGAGCAGGATTCCTGTGTTTCCCTAAATTGAGAGGGGAAATTCGCATAATGTAGAATTAACCATTTTAAGTGAACAATCCAGTGGCATTTGGTACATTGACTATATTGTGCAACCGTGCCCTTTATCTAGTTCTGGACATTCCGTCTCCCCAACAGCAGTCCTGTCCCCCTCAGCCGTCACCCCCGCCACAGCCCCGGGCCCCCACGAGCCCCCTTCCTGTCCGCAGATGAGCCTGTTCCGGACGTGTCACCCGCATGGACTCACACCCCACGTGGCCTTCCGTGTCCGGGTCCCTCCCTGAACGTCCCCGCCCCCATCAACGGTCACTCCCCACCTTCTCCCCCGCCCCTGCCCCCCAAGCCCCCTTCCCGTCCGCGGATGAGCCTGTTCTGGACGTGTCACCCACATGGACTCACACCCCGCCTGGCCTTCCGTGTCTGGCTCCCTCCCTGAGCGTCGTGGGCTCGGGGTCCGTCCCCACTCCTGTCCACGGCTGAGGGACGCTCCTGCGCGTGGGTGGACACGTCGTGTTGGACATGTCACGTGTGTCGGTCCAGCCGTGGATGGACACTGGGGTGTTCGGGCCCCTTGGGCTGCTGTGAACAGTCTCGTGCTAGTGTTGTTGGTGGACCTGTTTCCGGCTGCTTGGGGCACGCTCCCGAGTGTCCACCAGGGACAGGTGGTGACCCTGCCTGACTGAGGAGCACCTGGCTCACCGGCTCACTGTCCCTCCCACCAGTGACAGGGTGGCCCTCCCGTGGATGCCGTGGATGCCCCTGACCGTGGGCCTCTGGACAGTCAGGGCTGCACGCGTCAGATCACATGCGGCACCTTCATCACTTGAGAGCCTGGTGCCCAGGAGGGAAATTGGGAAAGTCGGACAAGTTTGGGCAGCCCCATGGTGAGTTACCACCTTGGACTCTATGGGCTGGAAAAACCTGCCCAGACTGTGCAGTGGGGCCTGTCCTGGGTCAGAGATTTGTGTCCCAGGAGGCTTCTTTCCAGCGTGTTCTGCCCGGAGAAGGGGGAAAATGGAGAGGATGGGGAGGGCAGGGCAGGGGAGGAGAAGGAGGCAGGGAGGAGGGGAAGGGAGGGGGAGGGGGAGAGGTGAAAGGGGGAGGGGCGGGGGAGGAGGGAAGGGAGGGCAGGGCAGGGGTGCCCCCCCCCCCCGTCAGGCCCGCAGGAGCCCAGGCAGCCTCTTTCACGCCACCCTCCAGGCGTCATTGCAGCTGGGGAAACTGAGGCTCGGGGTCAAAGTCAGTCAGTCCTCTCAGAGGTGGTGGGATTGAAAGCAACATCTGCGTGACCCTGATTTCCAGCCACCTTCTGTCCAGGCACAGTGGGAGCAGGGAGGCCGCGGGGACCGCCCTGGCCCCATGGATTCAGGACTCAGCGAGTGGCCCAAGCTCTAAGGAGGTGAGTGATGTCCACACACAGACCCGCACAGGTGTTTACAGCAGGTTCGTCCATCTCCGGGGAGCAAGTGAGATAGATACCCTTCAACGGGTGAGCAGGTAGGTGGGCTGGTCCATCCAGCCCTGAACATGAGCCATCGAGCCAGGCAGAGACACGGAGGAGCCTCAGCGGCACGTCCCTGGGTGAGAGCAGCTGGGCTGAGAAGGCCGCACACCGTGTGGTTCCGGGTCTAGGACATTCTGGAAACCGCAGAACCGCGGAGGCGGAACGAGGACCTGCGGTGGCCGGGGTGGGGGAGGGTGACTGGGCGGAGCATGGAGGGTCGGCAGGGCCAGGAACTGCTCTGTGCCACGCTGTGATGGTGGATCGCTGCCCGTGACATTCGTCCAAACCCACAGGGTGCGCGGCACCGACAGTGAGCCCTGGTGTCCCCTGTGGCCTGTCGTTCATAATGTCCTAATACTGGCCCGTCAGCTGTCACAAACATACCAGGCCAATCCCGTTCCTGACAATGGAGGGAGCCCAGTGTGAGAGGAGATGGGAGGGACCTGCCAGCAACTTCCACTCACGTTTTCTGTGACCCTAAGGCTGCAGGAGCAGGAACTAGAAGGTGGTCTCTGGGGACGCTTCCATCAAAGGTACAAGGTTTCAGCTACAAGTGCATGCGTTCTGGGATCTCAAGCACAGCCTCCTGCACGTGAAGTTTGCCAAATGCTCTCGCAGCAAAGAGAAGGTACCTATGTGAGGTGTGGTTCAGTAGGCTGACTGCTGATGGGTCACAACGATACACAAATATCAAACCATTGTCGTCTACACCTTAAACATATCTAGTTTTCATCTGTCAGTCATACCTCAATAAAGCTGGGTGGGGGAGGGTGTGGAAAACAAAAGTGTTTGCTCCTGGAGAGAGAAGGACTGACGGCCTGGTGTAAAATGGGGAGTTGGAACAATTTTTTAAATTTATTTTAATTTTATTTAAATTCAATTAATTAACATATATTATTGGTTTCAAAGGTAGAGGTCAGTGAGTCATCGGTCTTATGTAACACCCAGTGCTCATTACTCACGTGCCCTCTTTAATGTCCATCACCCAGTTACCCCATCCCCCCCGTCCCCATCCCCCCATCCCCCTCCCCTCCAGCAACCCTCAGTTTGTTTCCTATGATTAAGATTCTCTTTTCTGGGCGCCTGGGTGGCTCAGTCCGTGAAATGTCTGCCTTCAGCTCAGGTCGTGATCCCGGGGTCCTGGGATCGAGTCCCTCATCGTCCCTTGCTCAGCGGGGAGCCTGCTTCTCCCTCTCCCACTCCCCCTGCTTGTGCGCTCTCCTTCTCAAATAAATAAAATCTTTAAAAAAAAAAAAAAGAGTCTCTCATGGTTTGTCTCCCTCTCTGATTTCTTCCCATTCAGTTTTCCTTCCCTTCTGCTATGGTCCTCCATGCTATTCCTTATGTTCCACATATGAGTGAAACCATATGATAACTGTCTTTCTCTGACTTATTTCACTTAGCATAATACCTTCTAGTTTCATCCACATCAATGCAAATCTAAATATTCATCCTTTTGATGGCTGAGTAATATTCCATTGTACATATGAACCACATCTTCTTTATCCATTCATCTTTTGAAGGACATCTCGGCTCCTTCCACAGTTTGGCTATTGTGGACATTGCTGCTGTGAACACTGGGGTGCAGATGCCCCTTCTTTTCACTACATCTGTATCTTCGGGGTAAATACCCAGGAGCTCAATTGCTGGGTCATGGGGTAGCTCTATTTTTTTTAACGTCTTGAGGAACCTCCATACTGTTTTCCAGAGTGGCTGCACCAGCTTGCATTCCCACCAACAGCGTAGGAGGGTTCCCCTTTCTCCGCATCCCCGCCAACATTTGCTGTTTCCGTGTCTTGTTAATTTTAGCCATTCTGACTGGTGTGAGGTGGTATCTCCTTGTGGTTTTGATTTGGATTTCCCTGATGCAGGGTGACGTTGAGCACTTTTTCATGTGTCCAAACAGATGTTTTTTGTCATACCCTTCTATGTTGCATAAATTAATCCAATGGTCTCTAGTGTATTTGTCATTGGGCAACCATCACTATTAACTTCAGAACATCCTGTCACCCCAAAAGCAACCCTGTCCCCCCCAGCCCCGGCCCCCACAGGCCCCCTTCCCGTCCGCGGATGAGCCTGTTCCGGACGTGTCACCCACGTGGACTCACACCCCGTGTGGCCTTCCGTGTCTGGTTCCCTCCCGAGCGTCGTGGGCTCGGGGTCGTCCACGGGGCCCCCGTGCGTGGGTGGACCGCATTGTGTGTCCGCTCACGGGCGGTGGGCCCTGGGTATGTCCGCCTGCCTCGAGTCGTGCTGCTGCGAACACACATGTGGATCTGGGTTTTCAGTTCAGTTCCTCACTTTTTCAGGGTCACATGGGAATCCCACGTTTGAACTTTTAAGGAAGGCCTGACCGGCGGTTCTAACATCCCAGCAAAGCCCGAGTGGGGCGCAGTGGCCTCTGGATGCTCCCTGGGGAGGGATGATGCGTCCTGCCAGTGACTTACTGATGAGAGCAGTTCAGAGGAGCCTGGAGAAGTTTCCATGGTTCCTGTTATAAATAGGGCTGGCGTGAGAGACGGGCTGTGGGGCGGGCAGGAGGGTCCCCAGGCTTGGGACAAGGCCACACCTGTGGCACCTTCCAGGCCCCCGGTGTGGTCGGGGCCGCCGGGCTCCTGGGCGGCCAGCCGTGCCTGCCACAGGACCCTTTGAGGGGCCGGGAGGGCCACCACCGCCCCCCAGGACAAACGCCCTCCCTGCCTTTACCTCCGTGGCCCTTGCCGACTGACTCTCAAAACTGGTGCGTCTTGATTCTCCGGAAGGCGTGACTGACCTAAGCCCCCAGCCCTGGCCCCATGAAGGCTGGTGGGGGGCCTGTCTCCCACTGGGCATCTCCCCAGTCGGGGGATGTGTACGTCTGCCTCCTAAAAAGGTCCCGAAAAACCCAAGCCTGTGGCAAGATTTTCCCCTAACAAAGTAGTAGCAATAACCAGAGTGTCGGTTCTCTTGGCCAGACACTCTGGCCTTTGTTGGTGGGAGCAGGTGGGGACTCGGCTTCCTAGCCCCACACGACCCCTCTCCCTCCCCTGAGTTAAGGACCTCTGCTCAGGTCCATTTCCCAGGCAGACAAACTGAAGCCCCAGGAGAAAGCCCTTTCCCTTTGGGTTTGAGGTTCCCCTGGGTGCCAGAGGGACAAGAGGCCTCGTCCAAGGATAAGAGGAGTCCAGGCAGATCAGGGCCTCCACCGCAGAGGGACATGCCTTCCCCCATGCCCCGCGGGCGGCAGCAACAGGGCTGTTGGGTCCACAGGACCCGGGGCAGGCTGGCAATGACACGCACGGTGGGCAGCACCTGCAGGAGCCCCACGTCCTCTCGCAGCCGCTGCCCTGGCCACGCTGAGGGGGGTCCTTCCCAGCCAAACCAGCGCGGCCACCACCCCTTGGAGAGCCCAGGCGGGGGCTCAGGGGCCCAAGGCAGACTTTCTGTCTTCTGTGCCCTCAATTCATTTTCTTACATATATGCATGCCTCTGTCCTTGAAAACCAAACAACCGGGGGACAGGGCTTCACCCCAACGAGGCGGCCTGGGCCCCAGCTGTGGGCTGGCTCTGTGAGCTCCTGAGCCTCGGTTTCCCTGTCCGCCAGCCCGGGTTGGGCCATGACTGACCACCGAATGTGGGTGGGGGCTTGGGCACCAGCGTCCACAGGGAGGGGCCGGTGGTGGCCTGGCGGGAGCAGGGCCCGAGGCCGGAAAGCCTGAATCAAGCGGGGCCACAGCCAGAACGTGCGTTAAGGGGATCAAAACTCCTCCCTGCATACCCCGAGCAACCTGCTCCGGAAGGGTCGGCGAGGGCAGTCAGGTGCTGGTTCCGGACAGAGGACCCCGCGCGGGCCTGGCCGGGACACGTTGCATCTGGTGCCTTCCTGGACACTCGGCCGAGCCGCCCGTGTGGGCAATTTTATTCTAAGACACGTTTTATTTATTTATTTAGTTATTTTTAAAGATTTTATTTATTTATTTGACAGAGAGACAGCAAAGGCAGGAACACAAGCGGGGGAGTGGGAGAGGGAGAAGCAGGCTTCCCACGGAGCTGGGAGCCCGATGTGGGGCTCGATCTCAGGACCTCGGGATCATGAGCTGAGCCGAACGCAGACGCTTAACGACTGAGCCACCCAGGTACCCCATAAGACATGTTTTAAAGGCCCGACTCCACAGTCTGCGGGTTGTGGTCACAGTTTCCCTGGGGGCACATGCCCACGGAAACCTGCC